AAAGAGAAATCTCAAAAAACTCTCCCAAAAATCGTGAGTTTTTCATTTTGAAACGACCACGAACGCTTTTTAGGTTTTTGGCCTAAAAAAACCGTTAAAAAAGTCTTTTGGGTTTTTTGATCAGTTTTTTAGTCCAAAAAACTCTTTTATTGTAGTTTATTAATCTACGACTATTGTTTAGAGTGTAATGCGAGAGTGTCTTTGTAGAAGGTACTGAAGTAGATAAGTTCGGATTGTGAGTATTTTTTGTTCGAATTAGCTAGTATTCTATACAAACAAATGTAATTAGTAAAGAATAATATTTTTAACAATTAGCAGAGCTAAACAAACGTTGTGTTATGCAAAACTGAACTGAAGTGCAAACGTTGAAGAAATGAGTTGATAGGATATTAACGAGTTAATAAAACGTTCTATGTCTCTGTATTGAAATGTTTTTATAATAACTATAACGCACATCGTCTATCGAGAATGGCTTAAGAGTAACCCTCCTCTTTTTTGAAAAAATCTGAGCTGAGCATAGCCTAATGTAGAGGAATGTGGGCTACAAAATGAGACTACTTCCAGCCCTCCACGACCTTTCTTCAAAAAGTTATGTATTTTTGAAGTTTTTCCTTCAAAGCCTAAAAAATCTCAATTTTTTAGTTTCATACACTTTTCTCTTCTTTTCTGTACATTTAGACTTACACATAGTCTGATAGAAGAATGTGTTTTCTTCACAATAAGATGTTTTCTAGAATTTTCTGATGGGTTGATGAGTTTTTGTGGAGATATAAGCATCGCAGCAAATGCCCTGAAAAAAGTGGCCTACGTACAAAATGCGTTTTTTTTCGATAACTATTTTTTTCCTACTAGGCTTCATTGTGCCACATTACTCGCCTAAGAGAGGTCTTAAAAAATTTCCTAAAAATAATTCTGCGAAATGACCTTGAGTACCTATGGTAAAATTCTTAACTCGATCGGATGAAATTTTACGGGGTCGTAATGTGGCACAATGAAAAACCGAGTTTTCTGAAAAACGGGTAAACGGTAATAGTTGAAAACTCGAAACAAAAACGAAAAAATGCTCCATTGAGTTTCCAATCAGTGCTGAAAATACGAAGCCATAGCGACTTTTAGTTTTTATTTCACAGCATTTCTACGGGGGAAGGGGTACCCTTAATTATCGTTAGTGCGCCTCTGACTCAGCTCATAAATAGAATAATAAGTATGCTGGAAAAAAGCAATATTTACGATATAACTCCCGAACTATCGCTCGGATAAAGTTTCGTCTACAGAAAGGGAACATCCACATACTATAACAAATATAACGTTCCAAGGAACTATATTGATCGGACGAAGCATTGATAAAGAAATGCCTGTGACAAAGTTTATATCTTGTGCGTTGTTAAAGTGTCGACTTTACTAAAAACTCGATTCGGCCTCGAACTATAGTTGCGAGACAGAGTAATAATAATAAAAAAAAGATGACGTGAAAGAAAAAAACAGTGCCTGACTTTTTTAGTAGACGGCTCTTCAAAAATGTAGTCAACACAAGACGAAACAGAAACATTGTTTACGTTAAAGGAAAAGAAAATTCAAGTGTCGAGCAATTTAGTTAAGGTGCTTCTAACATCTAAAGTCAAGGTAAATAGCAGTTGGAAATTCATATACAGAGTCGTTACTAGAAACAAATAAACTATGACATATCTTTCAGTGTTATTATCAATATTAATAAAATGCTGAGTATGCAAAGTGAACAGTCCATTCTCTTACTTTTTCTCTGGAAGAGCTGCAAGCATTGACACTATTCAAACAAGGTAAGAATATAGAAGTTAATGAGATACACGTTATCAGAGAGTATCATTTTCTTGACTGCAAATTAAGAGTCGTATGGTCTATAATGTCTCTCACACTTTTTGACTACCAGATTTCAGGCGATATCTTTTTTTTATGACTTTGTCTTTCGAATTATATTATATCTTGTTAGTACCGATTCTGAACTCCATTGTCTTCTATAGTTTTCTTCTGTTATTTATTGTATTGTTGAACGTCAATATCGCTAGTATTGAACGACAGTTGATGATACCTGGAACAATTTTATGAAGTTCCAATGATACTCTCTATAGATAAGATATCAAACAATTAGCTGTCTCGTACTTGTTGTACACAAGTTCTTATACAGCTCCAACTTTTTGATGTTTCTTGTCATAGTTATATTTTTATTTTCGCAACTAGTCTTCTTACAAAATCTGTATCCGTCTTGTCAGAAGATCTTACAAAATAATGTTATAAAAAGTAAATGTGAAATCTTAGCGTAAGATTTGTGAACCTGAATTTATCAAAAAGAAAATCACAATTCATTAGGAAATATATAGTCGTTTACCGCAGTTCTTCGCTTCTAGGTAATATATTTCTATTTAATCTGTGTTGTAGGGTCTCTTTTATATTATTTGCGCTCATTCATTAACCCTTTTCATTATTAATCATCTAATAAAAATATAAGTATTAAAATTGTTTAGGAAAAACAAATATGTATTTTTATCAATAAATTCATTTACAAATTATCTTATATTGATAATTGAGAAAACACCCATCTTTTCGCTTGAACAAAGGGTGGAGGACAACAGATTGAAGAATGAATAATAACAGTATACATGCGGGCGTGAATTATTTATGATCATATAATTGAACTTCATGAGTCAAAAGATAAATAGAGATAAAAATATTTCTGTCAGAAGAAATATTTATTAAATTTTTCTAATATTCTAATCAAAATTATAAAACAGATGTTCCGTTTCAATAGAGTTATCAACAAAAAAAATATTTTCATATAGTGACAATTTTTTCTTATTTCTATATATTTTAGATTTTTAAATTCTTTTTTCATCTAAAGGCGTTGATCGCCTTAATACCATCCAGTCTTATTGCAATAAATTCATCTTTCACACCAGATTATCTTGTATCTATTTTATCGTCAATGTTTTCAATTAAAATAATAAGTATGAAAATTAGATTTCTGTTCACATGTGAAACTAAATTATTTTTCATTTTTCAAATTTTTTAGACTTGTCTTTTGTCCATGTATTCTATTCATGTATATTTTTATTAATTATGGTCAGTTTGACTAATGGAAAGCCAGTCTTAAAACAATCGGAAAGTTCAAATCAACTTTGTGATATTATCGCAGTATACTGTGTTAAAAGTGAATTGAATAAAATTCGTGATATTATGTTAAATATTAATCAAACAGCAATGGCAATTGAAAATTATATAGTGAGTAAAATAGAACTATTAATAATAAAGTGGTAAATATATGATTTATTCTCTACTCTATAGTTTGATCATACAATGACACGTGGAACACTCTCTCGACTTGTCTTTAATGAAGAACGTTATCTAATCGAATATAATCAAAGCCCAAAAGCAAAATGGCATGCCAATTTTTTACAATTACCAAACATTGATAAAGTAAGTAAGTGGAAGTCAGGTATAATGATGTACTTTAAGATGCGCGGGATAAAATATACCCGATAAGATCCTTATATTGTCGTCAATACTAAAGATTTAAGATCGAAAACCTCATCTATACTTAATAGTTTCTCGGGTTTTTTTGTAAAGAATCTAAAATGATAAGAAATTCATTATCTAAATTTCAACAATATGTTGAATTCTTTAATTTCTACTTTTGTTTTAAATGACATTCATCTTTTTTTTTTTTGAAAGGAGTTTCTCATTTATATAATCAATGACATCCACAATGCAATGTTAATATTTTATAATAGCATCGGTTCATTATTAGAAACTGATGAAATGTTTGGATTTCAAATAGATGAATGGTTTAAGCAAATTCATAAAAATTTAAGAAGTAATGTTATATGTAAAATTCGAAATATTCTGTATACATATGACGCTGAATGGTCACAAAACACAAATGATCAAATCACTTTTCGAAATGAATTTTATCCTTCACCATCACAACGACACAATATAAAGAGTGTTGTGTTATCAAGACTATTAAGGGAATGGAGTAACAAATTAACAAGTGTTATTAATATTATTGATCAAAAACTTATCTAGTTTAGTTATTCATTTAACTCTTTCGAGTTAGATGTTACCATGTGGTAATATTTTTTTGCTATGTTTTAAAAATTACCGACTGAAAAAGGTTATTTCGTAGTCTTTTTGGTCTGCAGGTCAGCTAAGACTTTTTTCTGACATAAACTTCTTGGCTAAGTTTATGTTCAGATTCTCTCTATTTATTTATTTATTTTTTTTATTCAAGAATCTTGAATTTAGTCAATGTATACAAATCGACACAGAATCATTTATAATGATTAATGTTTGTTTTTATTTTATTTTCTTTCCTTTTTATTTCACTTTTAAATCAAGAACTGCAAGCAGTTAAGTGATTTTTATTATGTGTACACTGTTAGTTAGAAATAGTTTAACTATTTAAAATTTTTATATTGATTTTCATTCATTTTTAAGAGAGACCTAACGCCGTGCGTTACAACATTTTCGTTTTATTACTGCGTAATTTTTTAATGTATTTGCTGGTCAGAATCAATAATTTTAGAAAAAATAAATTCATTCAAGATCTAATATTGGTCATTTGATGATAAAAATAATAACTATACAAATCTGAATAATTATTAGAAGATAAATACAACTACTATCTGTACACTAAAAGAATGAACGTAGTCACTTTTTAAACAACTTTTGATTGAAGATAGCTAAGTAATTTCGATTTTTAACTCTGAAAAGATGAGACATGATCATATTTTTATCTAGGAAAAACATAAGAATCTTTTTTCATCAATAAATTTCAGGGATTTTCTGAACATCACTTTAAATCTTCACAGCAACAGTAGTTAATTCAGGTAGAAGTGTAAGAATCCTTTGATCTCTCCATTTTTTTTTAAATTTTTAATAAAAAAATTGCTATAATAAAAAGATCTTTGATAACTAGAATAAAATATCTTCACTTACTATCACAGTATAGAAATCTTTTCTATTCAGTATGTTTATTTTCGACGTTCTCCTTTCGACATTTTCCTTTTCTACTGTTTTTTCGACGTTTTCCCCTTTCAACATTTTTCCATTTGATGTTTTCCATCAAGATCTTTTCGATGACTTAGATTATTGATCACAGTGAATCTCTTGGCAATGTTTTGTTCTCGGAAAAAAGTTTGAAAAAATCTCTGTATAGTAGCTTTAGTCTTAGTTATAGGTTTATCTTTTTTCATTTGTTTTATTTAATCCTCGCCTTTCAGAAGTTAACTAGCTTGTCTATCAAGAACAAATGTCTCTTTCGGTGATTGTTTAATTGAAAATAGTCGCGTTGAACGAGGATATCTCAAATGACAGTTAAAGAATTGGATAGACCAAAAAAAGTTAAAAAGAGAAATATTAAACGACTAATATTAAAAATCAACTAAATATTTTTCTATCTTATTTAAATATTTTCTGTCGGAACTAATAAATATTTTTCTTGTTGTAAAAAAGAAACATATTAAAATTTTTCGCCTAGGTTAGAAAAATATTAAATTATTTTATACAGATGAAAAAATATTTAGATAAGGTACAAAAGTTAGGTTCCGCATATTCGTACCTTCTTGATAGGTTTAAATTGTGACATCAGTTCATTTAGAATGAAATAAATGGGATAGAAAAATATTGAAGTTTTTCGCATAGGAATAGAAAAATATTTAATTATTTTAAAATAAAGGAAAAATATTTAAATAAAGAAAAATATTGAACGAACTAATATTTTACCATTTAATCAATTTTTAATATTAGTCGTTTAATATTTTTCTTTTTAATATTAGTCTATAGACCTAAAGAATTAGATGGCACGGTTGTCAGAATAATTTCAATAGTTAATGTTACAATGTGTAAGTTACTATTAGTGTCCTTATTGAATTGTCCTAGGTAATGAATGATTAATGAGAAGCTCTATCTACTTTTTAATTAAGACGTAATTCAAGTAAAATAGAATATATTAATCTATTTATTTGGAAAAAACATCATCTATTTAGTCAAAATTGTGACTTAATATTAACGTTTTCTTTTGTCATTAACGTCTTCATTTTGCCAATCGACACAGTGTTCATTGATATTTATTATCATCCCCTTCAACAAAACAAATTCTAGATAATTAAGTCAAATTAGTTTTGACCATTATAGAACACGTATTTCATCCTTTACATATGAAATATTGCAATACTCTTCATAGCAACAGAAAATACTTTAAACAAATCGAGAAACATGAAAAACATAAAATATCTCGTGTAAAACACCAGCATGATCGATAAACTATAGACTAAAAATTGTGAATAAATATTTTTCATTCTTACATTTATTATATCACCGGGCCATATTACGTCATTTAAGATGGCTCATCCCATAATCGAAATATTATTGTTTGCTCTATAATAGCTTCACATTTCAACTTCTGGGATAATTCGTAAGAGTAAATGTGTCATCTATTTAGTGGAGTGTCGATAAACATCATTTAATTCTTAAAGTGAGCAAATGTAGGTTTTGTATGACTTCTGTACAGCAAAAAATCCATTAAATGCATTTCGTCGGGTGAAATATAATGAAACGAAATCGATTTATTACTACAACAGTTGTAACCCTTAAAAAAAAGAGAAAACAATGTAACGTTATACGTACAATAGCAACAAGATCACTCATCAGGCGTCTTAATCGATATTTGCATGTGAATGACAGAAATCTTATATCATTCTTCTATTTTGAAAGGTAATAATGTTTTGCATCGCAAAGAGCATGGAAAAATATATGTTTTTATTCATTTTAAGTCCGTTTTTATTATCAGAAGATCATTTGTACAAAAAGAATCGTCAATAGATGACTTACGCTTTGTAGTGGATATTTTGCATAACTGAACATCCATTCGGGAAATTTTCCTGCAAAATGAGCTATAAAATTTAGTGGATGAAATAATTCTTTGTTCTCTTTGTCTAACGCATCACCAGGATAGACGCCTTGTAATCGTAGACAAGCGGCGATTTCTACATCTTCTGATCCTCCATCTACTTTACAAACACTATTCGATTTTCTGGTTTCTTCAAAAAATCGCTTGAGTGATTCCTTACTGAGGACATACGATGCTCCACCACTATGATATCCTTGTTTAACAAGTACTTTAAAATTGTAGCCAAATGTAATAGGTTGAGATGCATTTTGTTCATATAAAAAATCTTTGAGATGTTCGACGATAATGTACGTATCATCATCAGCTTTTATGAACCAGTCATATTTTGAGTAGAGATTTTCATACGCGTATATAAAGGCTAATCGTGATTTCAGAGTTAAATGCCAATAGCCACTTATTATATTTGGAATTGGTGCTATTGGTAAATCATAAGTAGACATTGACTTCTTTTCCATTTCCGTTATGAAGTAGAGTCCATCGCATCGTTTTCCCCACGTTTCATTGACGGCTTTTGCCCGAGTTAGAAAATTACTGGGTGTTGTTAGAACGAGGCAACAGACTTTGACTGTCTGTCGTTTTTCTTCGAAGGAAATTGTCCCGATTACGTTAGGTAATATTTTCAAATTCTTAGAAGTGTAAAAAAGTAGATTTAAATCGATATCATTATGAATAAACGTAATAGAAGTAATAAGTAAAAGAACGACGAGAACTATTGTAAACCAACGACGTTTTTGTGGAAACATTAGCAAACCTATAAATATACAGAAATGTTGCTCTGTTAGATATTTTTTCCCCCAAGGTAAAGTTTATTACTCGCACAAATGGAATATTTTTCTCAGTTATCTTGTTTGAAAGAGGAAATCAGCAACATATAAGTAAGGCTGATAACATTATTTGTTTGAGTGTCAACTGTTTGTAATGTACATGTTATTCAAAAATTTTTTTCTTCAATGTCTTCTTTTTCTTTATATTATTTTTTTATCAATTTCTATTCAAGAAAAAGGAACAACAATAAATTCAACAATCTCTTGAATAATTTATTGTTTTAAGCAATATAGTTTTCCGTCTATCGTCAATGATGCGCTGAATGTATAATTAATAGGTTATGGACCAATTTTATTTTAATTTTTTCCATACTTATTATATCGCTTTAAACAAAAAAATAACATTTTACGGTAATGACTACAAATTCATAGTTCTACATCCTCCTCCATATACCATAGATGAAAATTATTTAGAGATGGGAAAGTCCAAGTCCAGACTAATAGACTTTTTCATACGGACTAGGACTAATTCGGACTTAGCCTCTAGTGGACTGGGACTGAAAAAATACGGGACTTGTCTATCTCTGCTTTCGTGTAAAAAAAGTCCTTTCTTGTTCTTGTTGTTTGCAAAAAAATTTTGTTGTTGTCTTGGTCCTGTAAAGAAATACTCTCTGATAAAAAGAAGAAAAGAATGGAAGTGGAAAACGATGTATGCTGTGGCCGACATCGGAGTTAAAGCTTAGCGGACTGAGACTGGAACATTTTAGCTGCATAGCGGACTGGGACTGATTCGAACTTAGCCTCTAATGGACGGGAATCGAGCTGAAAAAATACCCGACTTGCCCATCCCTGAAACCATTTGTAATATTAAAAAGTTTGAGTTTACTTACTTGAAGAATTTCATCTATTTCCTTGAGCACCTAAACAAGATCAATCTTTTATGAGACGTATGCTCATAACATTTTTTTGTTAGAAAACTTATTAGTTAATAAATATAACGTTCGGAAATAGATTTCCGTTTGAATGCTAAAATGTGTTTGTCTCTCAAATTTGTTTTACAGTAAATAAAGGTATTTGATATACAACAATCACTAGCGAATTAGAGGAGCTAATATAATATGATCTGATAGAGTAACGAAGAGTGACCTTGGTCGTATGAGATTTTTAAAATTATGATGTTCGCTGCTAATAGTTTTGAAAAAACACTTTTTGGCGCAGATCATAGCGTGAGGAATGTGAGTGGCAGACAGGATTTACTATGAATTAAAATTTTTGAAATTCGTTGAGTTTCAAAAGTTCAAGATCTTATTATCTTCTGGTCTATAAATAAAACTATTAAATTATTTTTTTGTACGTTTACTTACTGTCTTATAAATTTTAAACACATTCTAAGACGTAAATTTTAGTTCATTGATATAACATGTGAATCGTTTTTTTGTACTAAAATTGTTCAATAGTTGGTAAAACAGGTTGCGTCATATGCACATTTCTAATCCCTGCTCTATATGTCTTTCTTTCCTTTTTTGTGATATATATGTGAAATGATATGATCATCCCATCCTTGCTTTTATGAACTTTTGTTAATGAATTCACTCAAACTTTGAATAGTTTCTCTTTATCTATCATGATTATCTCTAAGAAAACAAAGTTATCGTCCATTATTTGTATATGAATTAGTGATTTGTTTAAGTATTATTGTCTTTCCTTCTTCATTATTCAACAACAATAACAGGAAGTTATGTTTGCTTTGGTCTTTTGTATTTCTTGAGATTTTAAACAAAACATATATAACAATTTAGTCTTAATTCATCGAAGACTAATTAAGTAAAAACAATGAAAATTCTCAGCTTGTTGACACTTATCATAGGTGCCTAATGAACTGACACACTCAGATGTATGTAATGAAATATCAGTTCTTAATTATTGTATCTAAATATGATACTGCAAGATTAATAAGAATCTATATTTTCAATTAGAGAATGAAAAATTTCGAATCACTCTTTGAGAAAGAAACATTAATCAAATAGCTATCAGAATTAGTACAGACTCAAACAACAAATCCAGATAGTATGTGTAAGTTATCATAATCCATTAAAATTAAAAATTCATTATACCATACAAAGAATGAAAATTCATTCCTCACAACTTAAATCAAATAATGATGTTAAACTTGAGGGACAATAAACTGTTGAGCTTAGAAATTTAGACCAATAAGATGCTTAATTTATAGACTAATGATAATTAACATTCAACAATGAAGAATTTTTATTAACAGATGATAGTAGTCGACGTTATTTGTATTTTTTGGAACAACTGATTCATTAAAAATGTTATGTAGTTGTCTATGATCGGATATTCAAATCATGTCCGTCGCCATTTTGTACAAGTCTGTTTGATTCATCCATTATTATCGATTTTGAATGGTGCAAGTCTTCCTCTGTTGACATTATTACTTGATAAAAATAGAACCATACACATAAAATTATTTAATGACATTAGAAATGTTATTATTAGCAATAATCTTGAAGTAAATTCAATATATACTGCATTAGACTTCGAAAGAGAAGCAATAAATGCACTTGAAAGTATAAACACCATATAGGAGGAACTAACCTTTCAAAACATTCTGTTAAGCTGCCGGTGATCATCCAACAGCCAGGGACGCTCCGATAAGGGGGGGAAGGGATTCCCCCTGCTTTTTGAAAAAACTTACTCCGAAATCAGGACTTTTTTACCCCAAAAACTAGGTCTTTGACTCACGAGAATATCCCACGGGGTAAAGCGTTTACTCGTATTTTCTGGGTAAGACAATTTTAGAGTATAAAAGGCTTACTCTCAGCTTCGAAGTAAAGCGCTTATTTCCATTCTCAGAGTAAGGAGTTTACTCTCAATTTTGGAGTAAGATATTTGTTCCCATTTGGAGAGTAAAAGGCTTACTCTCAGTTTCGTAGTTAGGAATTTACTCTTTTTTCAAACATTGACTTCGCCCCCCTTCCCTGCCTCCGAGGTATCAGGGCGTCCCTGCCAACAATGGTATTTATTTATTTATTCAGCTCTTCATCTTCTGTCTAGAAATAGCTGTTTGTCTGAGAGTCAATCATATAAAAAGTGTCAGCAAGTCAGGAAGATACGTACGATGAGCATCTAAGAACATTTCGAAATATTTCACTCCTTTCCATAACAGAACAAGTCAAACGATCTATTCCTCTGACAGCAATTATATATTCAGTTGAAGTACCAGTTGTTTCAGCAAAAAATAAAACCTTTATTTTCAGTTCTGTTGTTTCAGCATAGAACTACCTGATAGAGAATAATTTTATGTTGGGTAGTTCAATTTAGGTCCACCCAGTTTATACAGACATACTAGCCGAGAAAATTTCAGGACTCTTCTCGTGTAGAGCATAAAAAGTTACATAGAATCCCATATTTGTTCACTAAAAAAGTCATATTCTACATGCCTTCTCAGGAATGTCAAGTTTCGATCCTCCCTCTAATAAAGCAACTTTGATCTTGTTTTTCTCTGCCTGCACAGAGCTTACACCACTGTTGGACATACCATACAAAAGAGCATCTCGAGTAGCACAAATACTAATATTAAAAACTTGTGCTAGTATTTTTCCAATGGCAGACCAGCTGTCACGCAATGGCCAAAAAAATGGAAAAAATGGCACTCAGTATTTCACCTTTTCTGAAGGCAACTTTAGCTAAAGTACTGAAAGAAGCAATCGATATTTTTGACTCTTGTGATCGGGAAAAGAGGATGAAAACGGAGCGGACCAAAAATATCTTTGATGCCATTTTGTAAAGCTCGACGTGTACTACAAATGGGAGAAAAACAAAAAAACTCTATCGTATAGTTTTTGTGCTGTGGGGCCTCAAAGTTGACTGTTTTTAATAAAGGGTCTTCAAAGATGGACTGTATACTCAAACAGGAAGTTAGATATCCACCTTATTCTTTTT